TTTTTATAACAACTGAGGGCAGCATAGTTATTTGTTTATGCCATAAATGGCAGTATGTCCTTGGAAAATATATAACACCGCCCCTTTCAGATACTGACATTTATTGCTGCCTTTGTGAAACCAAGTTGGTGAGAAAATCATAAAAGTAATGAAACCAACAATAATTTTAGTATTTGAAGTTACTAGATTATTATTATTAGATTAACATAGATTAACATAATTCCTATAATGGTAAAAGAAAATTGTATAATATTGTTAAACGGTATGATAACTGCCCATCTGTTATGAGCTTTGGTCAGGTGAAACCAAAATGGAACTACGGTGAATTGGAAGAAGCCTTTGACTGAAGACCCTTTGACTTTCTAACAGTCTCATGAAGAAGATGCTCAGGGTTGTCCATAATATCAACAAGAAGAATGGGGGAAATTGAGTCTCTAGTTGCATAAACCTGGCAGAGACATTCTTACAAGGTGTGGCTTACAAGAATTAGCTTAGGGGGTGCATTTTCAGAATATATGATTTTTATTCCATTTTACAACTACAAAATCATTTTTGTTGTTGGTTTATCATACTAAATTTTGTTAAAATGTGGTAGAGTTTGTATTAAAAAATATTCAGGTTGTTTGCACCTTTCTGCCAGGTAATGAGTTGGTTATTTAATTACCCTTCTGTGTGCAGCCTCTAGAAATCCATTGCGCATGCACTGTAGTAACTCTATCAGCTGCACATGTGACTGTGATTCAAAACTATATTTGTCAAATGCTGCTCTGTATTTTAACACTTTATTTCAACCCTTTTTTGAACATCTATCCAGGTCAAAACAGACGTGGATTTTTCAGGAGTTTCTCTCCGGTTTGTGCCGCCGCTCTGGTTTTCCTGATGTTTGCATGCAGCAGAGAGATTCAGTGTGAGGACTGCATTCATTCCCACTGAAATGCAGTCATGTTTGAGAGCCAGCGAGCGGGCCATGGAGAACTCGGGCCTGCTCGCAACTATTTGCTTTTCCAGCTGTTTCCTCGACTCACCCAGCGAGTGGGAGAAAAGAAGGCGGTGGTTTTGGAGTTGGGGGCTTTGGAGCAAGATAGAGGGATTCATAGTTCTAGGAAGGAAGCTGGTGAGGGAAAAGAGAGCTTCAGAGAAAGTGTGTGTCTGCGTGTGTGTTCAGACTGTCTCCTCTTTCTGTTGTTGGAAACACGCCAAGACACCGAAATCATCTCTAACAACCAAAACTCTCTCTGTTTTTCTTTTTATGTTTTATGTACAACCATAGAGGAAAATGAAGTTGCCCCTTCCTTCCCTCCATCTGTGCATGCCCCCAAACAGAAACACGCCCATGTGCCCCTCATATATAGACCAATCTGCCTCTCAGACACAAAGCCACAAGGGATGGCCTAGATTCCAGCACATGTACACACATGCAGGCTGCAAGGAAAAACATTGACCTCAGACACACATGCATATATGTATGTACACACACACACACACACACACACGAATAACAAGTAGTCTGAAATCACAAAGAAAACATTTCAAAACACTTCCACAAATGCTATTTCTGCTTTCTATAATTAAATAACTTACTTTGACTGGCAAATATTACACAGATGTAACTGTTCTGGATTAATGCACATCTTTAACAAAAACCACACATGCTAATTAACATCCATTCAGTCGTACATGATTAACATAATAAAGAAAATGACAGCTGCAAAGGGGCCTGAAACAAGTCAATCTGCAAATCTGCTGTCTCACCAAGGAGCTTTGACATTCCCATCATGAAAGAGCAGTGCCATTCCATAACAATGGGAATCTTTTCTTTAAAAAAAAAGAAAGATGTGTGAATAAACCATTCTCTCACACGGTTGTCATTCCTCATGAAAGGTTATGCAGTCATACACACCGTTTTAATTTTACAGGACCGGGTGTGAGTGCCAGACAGATTCTGGTCAAAGGCAATAGAAATATTCTGAAGGTCTAAAAATCATGTCAAGCTTTTAGTGATTTGAATTGGAAAGGACTGTTGTGATTTTAAAAAAGCAACTGCTTATATTGTAGCAATGACTTTTTCCAAGCCTCCTTTTACATTGTATAAAAAGCAAAAGGAAGGTTTCAAAATAACTCAATGAAAACCGTAAAACAGATCTTACAGTTAAAACCAGAGACGTACATGGACTGTATAAAAATAATTCACATAACCTTTCTGTCTGACATTTAGTCATTTTTAACGTTTACTACTGAAGTTCAGTTAGCAATACTAAAATATTTCTACTCTACTTGATACCAGAATTGTGAAATATGATTTTGTTTTTTTTTATTTAGAGGTTTACAAATATTTGCTTACTTATTTGTGAGAGTTGCTAATTAACAATTTTTTCAGCTCTTTGTCTTTGTGTTTATTTACACAAATCTGGAATATTGGTTTCTTCCTTCCTGTGTTACCTATTAGACCATGTCGGTGTAATATGGTTTGATAATACATTTTTAGTAGTTTTCTTTTCTTATCTTTTGGTTTTAACAATAGATAACATCAAATTTTGACAAAAGAGAATAAACGCATCTCTTTCGTCAAAGAAATGTGACAAAAGACATCTCACATCTCAACACACTGACTATTGTGTTGAATTTCACATTAATAGGAAGTAAAGAGAAGAAGGCATTAAGTTTTCAACCCTAAAAAGAAACAATAATGACAACAAAAACAATTCTTTATCAATAGTCTCATTCTGTTGTGGAAATTCTGTAATTTTACACAGGTTTTACGTGAAAATATAGAAAACTGTTAAAATTTGTCTGTTTTTGTTACTAGTAATAGTAGTAATGATTTCAATATTTGAAATATACTGTGATATGAAATGAAAGCAGTGTATTGAAGTGTTACCTTCAGATGCATCCACTAGTTTTGATTCATTGAGCTTAAATGTTGAGAACTATCTACGTCACTACTACATCATCTGGGATTTCCCAGATTGTTTAAATGAATTTTAAAAAAGGCAATATAACATTCCTTCTCTCATTTATTTTCTACTTAGAAAATAAAAATAAGTGTGGTAATCTTAACTAACCTAAAACAGGTAAGTTTAGTCTAATTTAATGTAGTGACTTTAAATTTGATGACATTGATTTAATGTGACATTACATTAGTGAAAAGAGATTAAAGAAAAATGTTTTTTCTTTAATCTTTAAAGAAAAGGATTATGTCTTTTTATACATTGGGTATACAAATCTAGTTACATACATGGTATTTCTGACTCATTTCAATCATTGCTTCATTTTAATGAAGAAAATTATATAATACTTACAGGTCCCCTCTCGTAACTTCTTTCTTTTGTTGCAAATTGATGTAATTTATTTTCAAAGAGTAACAAAAGAGGGGTTTCTTAATGCTACTGCTGCCCTCTGGAGAAGCGATATGACTACATGGGAGGAATCACTACTAATTACAGAGCAAGTAATGTGATGATTGATGGGCTTTGATATGATCTTGCAGGGTGACACACTGAGCCCTATCATTCCCTCTGAACTACTCCACTACAGAGACAAATTGGGTCTGCTGTGTCTCAATGTATACGCCATGGACAGCCTAATTGGTTGTTAAGAGGGTTTTTCTGCTAACCTGTCCTGCTTTCAGCATGTGGAATCTGTACTATCAGTTACCACTGCTGTAGTTTCAAGTACAAAAAGGCCAGAGAGACACAGATAAGCATGCTGGAACTTTCATATATTATGGATAGGTAAAGTATCAATAATTCATTGTGAAAAATATAGCACCACAAAGCATGCTTAACAGTAAAATGGAAAATAAGAGCACTATATGTGATTCCCCTGTTTTTTAATGACTTAAAGTTTGTGTGGCATAAAGCATTAACAGTGTTTTGCAAAAGAATTCATACTGCTTGATTTGTTTTTAATTTTCCATCAGTTATAACCACACACTTCATTGTGATTTATTGGGGTGCACATCTGACAAAATAATGTTGGTGTGACATTTGAAAAAACAAAAAAACCCCAAACAAAACAAAACAGTAAAAAGTCAAATTAACGTTTGCCACAACCTATGTGAAAGTTACAAAAAGCTTGTGGCGAGACCAAAATTACCCAGAAATTTATTTATTTATTTATTAGGTTTATTTGATAGGAACAGACACACAAAAATATAGACAAGCTGAATAAAACAACAGTCCCATCCTTGTGTTATGGTGCTTTTAGCGTAAGCTAATTTACAGCACTTGTCCCCAGACGGTATTTCAAGACAATGTCTAAAAACTACTAGGAAGTGAAATAGTAGAAAAAATTTAAAATAAAACATGACACTGACAACATATGCAAATATATTCTTAGAAGTGAAAGCCAACACTGCACATTCTCTTAAAAACATACAATCACCACTGTGAAACATGGTGGTGGCAGCATTATGTTATGGGAATGCAAAGAGCATCCCCTGATAAACCTCCTGAGCTACAATGGAGCGGATTAGAGAATGTACAAAATATAAACTCATAAGAAAAGACTTTAAAATGGTCATTTCCAGATGTTTTTCATCCAATCTGACTGAGCTTGAGGTATTTTGAGATGTTTTTTTGTCTCTTTTAGATCAAATCTGATAAAGACTTAAGGTGAGTAGAAACAGAGTAATGAAATGTATGTCTTAAAAAATGGTTAAAAGCATAAAATGAATTGAAAACGTCTCCCAATTTTTAACATGAATTAGCTTAACATGTTTAAGCTAATTGGTAAAGTCTTTAAAGTACACAGAGACCGTTAGGCAATCACTTCCTCACGAAGAAATAAGTATGTAGGTTAAATACATTTTGAACGTATGTCGTCAATCAGGCTATCCGGTACGTCACGACACACCCCTGCATAGTGGGTACGACCAAAAATCTCAGAACTTGATTGGCAGGCGTATCCACCAATGGGAGTGCACGCCATTCCAGAGTGGTGTGCTGTGATTGGATACAGGGGAGAATAATATATATGTATAGATATGCCTGACTGAGAAATGGTAGGGGCGGGACTATGTAGAAGTGCTGTCCATCTGTGGCGATACAGATTTAAAAAAAAATGGACTGACGGAGTGTAAGCTAACGTTGTTCTTCGCGTGAACTAATGTAAGTTGTTTTGCACTTTCTTAAAGCTGAGGGCTGTTGACTGCAGAGGAAGGCGTCTTCTCGCTGTCGTGGCACTGTAGTTAACGCACACTGTCGTTTCGTGTTGCAGAGAAGTGCCTAGAAGCACAGGGGCTGCTGCTGGCGAGGCCAGCAAAGTGTGCAGCCGCTGTTAACGTTAGCTGTTATTGGTCTCTGGCCGCGTGGAGTATTTGTGATATAACGATGTCACGAGCGCTTCTCCCGTTCCGTTTTGTCACGGCGGGGAAAAGCGCCCCGCAGTCGCTGCGCATCTGTAACATTTACACACAGCTTGGGTTAATTTCGGGGGACATTTTCAACATACCGCTGCTGGTAGCCGAACTCAGCTTTTCTCTTTCTTTTTGGCTGCTTGTTTATCTCCGAGACTGCGTTGTTGCTCTGTCTTCCCCTCTCTGTGCGCGCAGAGAGGGGAAGGAGGGGAAAAACAAACAAACAAACAAACAAAAAAACTCCTTTTAAAATGTAGCAAATAAATATGGCCGTGCGTCCTGGCACATGGACAATTCTTCTCGCAACCGGACTTAATTCGTGTCGCAAATGGATACGTCTGTGTAGCCTGCTGCTAAACAAGCTTTTCTCCCACTCGTGTGTTGGTGTCACACCGCTGTTATGGTTTCACTCTCTTAATTTTTTGTTTTTTACTCAAAATTGCGCAGTGAGGGAGGGTAACCAGCAGCGGGCAATTATAGCTACAACTTGCAAGTTTTGATTGAATGAAAGTGTTGTGTGGGTGAGCGTGTATCCCACATGACCCTTAACAATTCGCGAAAGCTCCAAACACCTCATTCCCGGAGTGGGTTTCAGTTGTGTTTTGCGGCTAATGATCCAACAAAGCAACCAGTGGGTGGTCAGATTTACACAGTCACGTTAAAGGTACGCTGTACCCGTGCACGAAATAACGGGACGTCAGCATCCCCATCCCCCACCATCTCTGACCATAAGGTAGCCCTTCCTAATTCATCTCTTCTTTCCTTTCTTTTGATAGACTTGCTTTGAAGCGGAGGGAAACGTTTTTCCTGCTAAGCGCGAGGAAGTTACTGAAAAATCTCGCCTTCAGCTTAATTGTTTTGGGAAATTCGGCGACCTGGCTTTAAAAATTGGGCCCCCCTTTGGAACTCCACAAAGTGAAGGTTGATATGCCACATCAGGTAAGAACAAACTCCCTTTCTCCTTAGTGACACTTAAACGCACCACTGACTTTTTTCATCATGCTGTGTGGAACAAGCTGTATTTTGCAGCACTTTGCTTTGTGTTTACACACGTCATGGTATTCTACATTACAGATCCATCTAGCATTTTGGCCTCGAAGCTCGCCTTGTTGTTCTCTCCCTGTGTGTGTATGTGTGTTATTGTTATAGACAGATGCATCCCTCCACATTCCACATGTGTATGTCTGCTTGCCCACAGCAGGGGCTGGTGTGCAAATCCCCTTAAATCCAAATATGCAGTTGGATAAAAAATAAAATAAAATAAAAAAAGGAATCAAGGCTATCAGATTTCTTTAGTCCGACATGTTTTTGCAGATGGTGGAAATATGGTTGTATAAATTTTAGATGGTGTGTAAATTAAACTTTTCTCATTCCTGGATGTTTTCAGTCTTGTGGGAGACGTCAGTAAAATACTACAAGACAGAGTCTCATAAAGGCTGGAGTAGACATGGAGATAGAGAAGCTGATGTAGAGTTAATGTGCCTTGCATAAGTATTCATACCTCTTGAACTTTTTCTTACGCTGTCCTGCTACACACGTTCATTTGTTTTGTGTGTGTTTTATTAGGATTTTATGTGACAGGCCAACACATAGTAGCACATACTTGTTAAGCAAAAAGGACAGTTATGCTTTGTTGTTAAATTATTCTACAAATAAAAGTCTGAAAAATGTGACACTCATATTTACTCTGGCCTAACGTCAATACTTTGCATAAACCATCTTGTGCTTCAATTTCAGTGCTTTCAGGGGGAATATTTATTTGCTCTGCATGTGTAAAGGCTCAATGTTTTTTCTATATTATTTGCAAAAAACTAATTTAGATTGGATAGAAAGCACTTCTGCTTTTAGTATTTTTGAAGTGTTGCCAAAGATTATTATACAGATATAAATCTGGACTTTGATTTTAACAAGTGAACATGCATAACTCTAGTTGTATATTTTTGGTTGTTCTCCTGTCGGAAGGTGACACTTTCCTCCCAAGTCTCAAGTCTTTACAGCCTTTGACAAGTTTTCGCCCAGGAGTACCATATTTTTAGTTCCACCCAACTTCCCTTAGATTCTGTCTGGCTTTTAGCATGATGCTGCCACTATGTTTTGTTGTTAGGATGGTGTGTTCACGGTGATGTGCAGTGTTGGTTTTTATATTTAATCCAGAAAGTTACATTTTGACCTCATTTGATCAGTTCAACTAATTTCTACATGAGTTGTGGTATACAAGACTTTCTTTCAACAATAACTTTTTACTTGCCGCTCTCTCATCTAGGCCAGATATGTGGTGTGAACAACCCTTCTTGCAGCTATTCAAACTTTTAGATTAAATGCAAACTGGTAAGCAGCATTTTATTAACCATGTAAACGGTTAAATATTCCATCCATCCATCCATCCATCTATCCACTGTCTATACCCGCTTATGGCAAATGGTTTTATTGCATGTAACAGATATATTATGGTCTTTGAAATATTGCACCCAAACAGTCCTTTGCCGTTATCATATTGGTACTCCTCTAATAGGTTTTGAATTCCTATAATTCCCTTAACATGCAGTAATCTGTAAAGAGCAGGTTTTGCTTGGAACATCGGTGTTGATTCAGTTTAATGTTCACCCAGACTTTGATCGTCATGTGATATGTTTTGGACTAGACATGCACAAGATACTGAATAACAATTCATCACAGTATCAGTATTTGTTAGAAGGGTGCCGATCGATCGGCCACCGATCATAATCGGCCGATTTCTGTGAAAAAGTGTATGATCGGTGATCGCCGCTCATGGTC